GTGCACCAACGATCTAAATTTTTGGCCTTGTCTGCAGGTACGTCTTCATATTCTATGCATCCAACGATGAACACATAGAAAAATGACTCCAGGTCATGACGACAAGTTCGTCTGATAGACTTTCCTGTGTCACGAGCGTGCTCCAACCTCTCAAGCGCCATGAATTTTATGGTGCCCGTCAAGGACTGTCTCTCTTCCAAGGCCAAATTTCCTTTCATCCTAACTGAGTGATCGAGATCAATCAACATACCATGTAAGTCATTGGCTGGAGATGGCTTCAACAAAATTATATTCCCTTCAGAGATATCTCCATGGAGGATCTCTTTACCCACCAGTCCCTCATGACCCATGATGGCATCTCGAATGCCCGCAACAAAATCAAGAATCGTCCCACTGGAATAGAGTGGTCGGCCACGTGGTGTCATGGCTATTCTAACAAGTCGGCGGTTTCTCTCATAGGAGAGAGTTGGTTTCTCACTTGTGTTATGGCCCTCGGAGATATACTTGTCGTCAGCTCTTAAATCCCAAGGCAGAGAAATGGAAATATCTAGGCTATCCATGTGAGATTTGGTGTCATATATCACTTCGGAAGCTATAATGTTTACGACACCTCGCACAGTCTTAGCAATGTTCAGGAATTCAATCTCGGTGTTTTCTTTCGAACTCGCCCACGAGTACTTGATCATCGTCATCTCATCCTTCGTTTCAAAGCAGGTTGTACCTCGAGTTATTAGCCTCGTTGGTTGCACTGTAGGTTCAGGTTTGATCTCGAAAAATGGACCTTGAACATCTCCAATTTTGGGAAACTGGACAAATCTATCTTCTCCATTCTGTAGGATAGACATGTCGCAGCCGAGTTCTTCACTGCTCATCAGAAGATACGAGCTTATTGCTCGAACGAACATCTCCTTGTCATCAACAATCTTTTTTGGTCCTGTGCTGTAGGCACCCGATCGATCAAAAAGCCAGAGCTCAAATTCGCCTCCGAACATGCAGAAACCATGCAGAAACCGACGCAACGGCTGAGCGCAGAAGACCTCTCGAACAGACCTTGACAATTGAATAAACTTTTTTTTCCTAAGGTCGTCGCTAGGTGATTGGGTAAACTCTCCGAGCACATTTATATTCTCCCAATCAGCAGAACCGTCATTAGGCAAGTCGATACTTTTGACCAGAAAATCAAGTTGGGTTTTGCCCTTAGATTTCAGCGCGCATCCCGTTCGTTCCGTACGACAATACTGTCCACGCAACTGGGAGAAAGGCTTTTCAATGAATAGTGGATATTTTGTCGACCGTTTTGGTGACGGGCCTTTGAGCTGATCTAAAAATGTTTGCCTAAAAAAATGGAGCCAGTCCCATACCTCACTTTCTGGCATGTTTATTTCCAGTATCTTCTCACTTTTTGCTTTATGCAGGTTTTCCTGTTGACGAATCTCTTCCGGCAATTTCAATTTCTGAAGTTTTAATAATCTCTCCTTCTTCTCGGCATTCTCATACTTCTGATAGCTTTCCCATATGCGAGAAGTCTGTTTGGACCAACTCTTATCCTCGAAAAATACTTCCCAAAAGGATGCGATTTTGTAGAATACGTTGTCATCTAGTTCAACTCTCATGACATTTTCCAGTTTCAAGGCCGTCAAGTCAAAACCTTCTACTTCTGAGTGATCTTTTCTAAATGATGTTTTACTTTTCGATGGGGCCAATGATGTTGGACTAATAACTATCTTTTCAAGTGAAGCGATGGATAATTCTAAGATATGTCGCTCATCCTTTTGATGGAGAATGGCGGAACTAAGATCTGCGAAATGTACAATGTTGATTTTTCCTTCAATGATTTTGATTGAGGTCTTACTGAAAGACATGTTAAGTTGATACATGTTGTTATTACTTCTTTGTTGATACACATAATATCCCAGATCAGAGTAAAAGTCAGAAACAGCTATAATATAAGTTTAATTCTTCATAGGTAGCGATGGAATTATTACCGCGTTTATAGGATTTTTTTGTGAAGGTATGTCGGAAAGACTGGAGGATAGCCTCGATGGAGTTCCCCGAATGATAAGCGAGAAGATCACTGAGCTGAGACATGTTGTTAATGAAGGTTGTGAGTTGTTAAAAGTGTCAGAAATTGATGACGGGAGGCAGAATGAGTTCGAAACCTGAGTTCCAATCATTTCTATATACCAATGAAAGTCACATGATATTCATGTCAATTGCTACCTTCCATTTGTAAGGCTTAACATTGCCCTGGGAATTTACAACATACATTCAGACCCCTGCTAAGACGATATTGCCGTTAAGATGATATATTTTTCGGAACGGGCTTCGTTCCTATTCGTTTACAGATTACTTGATTATCGCTCGTCAACCTGTGATATTGTCTTAACCAATGTTTTTTTCCTAGATTGGTGCTAGTAATGCCGCAAAAAAAGGGAATTTCTGTAGAGCAATGATGTGCTTTGCGTCGATGAGCGCACCACCAGATCCCAAAACCAACACAAAAATAGTTTTTGTGTGGTTCTTCGCTGAGTACGGCCATAGATTAAGCCATTCCACAGTCTCCGAGTCCTTAAATAAGACCTTTGCGAAACTTGACGAAGGTACAAGTACTACTGCGCTACGACAGAGAGCTGGAAACTGGCTTGACTTTGAGAGTATTAGAGCGATTAAAGACGGCAATTCTTTTTAAATCAATTCATGTGTAATCAGCTATCTAGCTATCTGGCTATGACACATGACCGGTGCTATGTATACATGTTGGATGACTCTTTTGACATTAGAGACACTCATACTCTGGATTTCATTCGCAAATACCACATAAGGTATGCTTGCTTACACAAACAGTCTACCCCCCTCCGTTAGTACCCACCAAAGGGAAATTTCAAAATCTTTGGTCATCCAAGCATGCCTTCGTCATCCATGCATACCAGCGCCGCGAGAAAAGTGGTTGTGTTTTGCTGGATTTGAACCACCGATCTACTGTCTCAAGTGGGATATGTGTTCAAGCTATCCAAACTCTACTCGCCAGACCAGCCAAGGCGATGTACCACCGCACCATCCAACCATGGCGGTGTTTAGAGTGTCGCCTGCACTCTTGCAGCCGAAGACTTTTTTTTTTTTTTTTTAATCATTGAGTGTATGCAGCCTAACTAGCTATGACACTATAGCCGAAGACTTGGTACGTACAAAGCTCAGTTTGAAAAAAACTCCTTTCCAAAACTCAAAATTCCACGCCCGTCGAGACTGTATCCATCTTCTACATCATCTTGTTAACTTGTCCTGATGCCTCTCACGTCCATCCCTAAGAACAGTCTCCCAGATTTGTGCGCCACGCTTTGCTTCCTCCTTCGGCTGTTAATACCGGCGTGGGCGTGTATTTGTGACCGGATGAGGTCAGAGAAAATCGAAGAGAGGTGTGATAATTGGAATGAGGATGTACTAGGTCGTACTAGTAGACTTGATGAAGCTTGGATAGGATTCGGACTCCTTGGGAATGAAAAATTGACGTGGTGGAGTAGTTTGAATCATTGCCTCGTGGGCCAACTTGTTCAGTAATGCAAAATTCGACTGAACTTGGTTCTGGGAGAATATATTACTCCCAGGTTCGTAGAGAACACCGCGTACAGATGTTCAGTCTTGCCCTCCGGCCCGTACGTTCACAACACTCTGTCTCCATTTTCAACAAGGTCTACTGCTTCCAGCTGGCCGGCCTCTTCGTCATAGGAGAGGCCCGCACTCAGTGGTTTTTGAGACTTTCTTGCAGCTACTCGCCCGCAAATGGCCATGGTTTCGTTGGCTGGAGAGGGGAGATAATGAAGGGATAACGGCTTCTCTTAGTATATAATCGAATGAGGACTTGTATGGGTTGGTACTGTATGAAGGGAGTTGTATGAGAGGCAAAGTAGGGGATAAACTACTGGTATAGGTATCCTTGGCCTATAGGCAGAGAGGTCTTGTATGTCCTGCATAGTCATAGACTCAGAAAAGCCAATAAAATAAAAACTCAGTCCTAAGAATTGCCTTCTTCTCTGGATTGGAATAGAATGTATTGATAGGTAGATAGATCCTATAAAGGTGTACTTGGCTAAGTATCTGTAGTTATTATCAATGGCAATGGTCGTGAAGATGTTAGTAGGGTACACAAAAGCAGAGGTGTGGACAGTTTTGACTTTTAGACAAACAAAACCTAAGTATAATGAAGTATTTACAGACATAAAATGAATTAAGAAATCAGATTGTTCTCCTTTCTGAAAACACCAAAACACTAACCACCAGCTAACCAGTGATCCTCGCTACAGCTCTTGTTATCACCTACTTCTAAGTTTAGAGTATAGCCAAAATTTAAGGGCAATAAGAGTCAAGTTAAAATGTATTCAACGATGCCGATACCTAAACTCCTGGGGAGATAATTCCCAACTAAAATACATCCATTCTCGAGAAAGTATCTTTCATAGTTTTTTGAGATTTTAAGTCTACTTAATTTGGAAGCTGAAGGCGCTGAGAAAATACGGAACTATGAAGGGATGAGCGGAAGTAGGAGGAGGTTTACCAGATGGCCTAGGGGACTTGAAGATAAGCTATCTACTTGAGTTCTACGCATCATAGGCTGATGTCGAAATGCCTTGTCTATAATTTGGAGTGGTTATGACAGTAATTATGATGAGATTTAACTCTCCCATTTTAGGGGTACATAGCGTACAAAGACTACATTAAGAAAAAGGTAAGAAAGAGCCAAATCTACATAGATTTCATTCACTTACCTTTTTGCGTTAACGTAAAAAATACCAATTTACCTTACAGCTTTAGTGTAATAAAAGTTGTATAGACCGGTACTTGTTTTAGCCCCAATTTTGTAACCGAATTATTGCTGGAAAATATTATTTGATATGTTGTATCATCATTTAAACGTATTCAATAATTTAGAGGAAATCAGGCAGGAGTAGATTGATTTGATAAGTCGAGTAGCGCAGAGCCCAACATATAGTTATGAGCTCTAGTTCTCATCCGGTAGATTTGACGTTATGCCAAGCTAGGCCTAGTAGAATGTCCTTGGCTTCAGTGCATTCCCAATCAATTTTTATTTCTATATTTCTTGATTCCCTTTTCGAGATAGCGTAGACTAAATCACCTTTCAAGAAAACTAAGACACCATTTTTCCCGTTTCTTGCTGCCGTTATACGATGGAGTGGTCCAGAAGAGTGAAGTGCTTTCTTTTCAGGCAAAAATTGTAAGTCATTTTCAGCACACCAGTCTTCAACTATTTGTCGAAATGAAATCTGTTGTGACTTTTGATGATTGATGGTCGAAATTGTCGGTGGCACAATTGCAAATGGTATCTTCAATGATGGGGCGGGTAGACGTGCGGCTACTTCGGTACCAAGATCGAGAGCTTGGGTAATCATATTATGGCCCTTATTAAATTCGTCCTGAATGGATTTTTGGGTTTTAATTCCTTCTGGAAATACGTCATCTCTCCACCACTCAAACCATTGGCCAATTTCTTCGTTAGGACCAACAAGCGTGAGCCATCGATAGAGTACTCTATGCCACAGAGGAAAAATGGTGTCTGCAAAAATCTGAGCAAGCGTCTTCGATTTAATGATTTTCTGCCAGGCAAAGACTCCCTGGAGGCTTGTCATGTATGGTGATTGGTCGTTAGGATCGACGATAAAATTTTTCTCGTTTCCCAGAAACCTCGACATACTTGGTAAAACATGATTGACGATAAGAAAAGTCCAATTATCATTTTTGTCATTTGTAAAGAATACCTCACGCCACTGTTCAAGACCAGGCAGTATTCCTTTACGAAAATCCCAAGAATCAATAGATCGACGTAGTTTTCGCCAAACATCATTTACTAAGCCTGTTGAGCTTTTTGGGTCAGAATGATGTACTGGTAAGTAGGGAAGCCAGGGGAACAACCAAAGATGTGGAAGTTTGTGAGTTTTTTTCTTAGGGTTCCAACTTGACAAGGCTACATTAAGTTTCCCAATGATAGCCTGGTCAAAAATTTGTTTTCGTACAAAAGAAGGAAGAAGATCTTTCCATACTTCAATTAGAGACTGAAGAGTTGTTGAATCGTATACATCCCATTCGCTATTGATAGCAGAAATAATCTTTGGAAATATTATCTTGTACATCATACTTTCATGCACAGTACTTTTCTTTGAATACGTAATATTATTTTTGTTGCTTATTGTATAGTTTTGAAGGCAAACTGGGTCATCTTCGTTAGACACTGTGCCAAGAATTTCTCGAATCTTAGCTAGTCGTGAAACTATCCCTCCAAGTGTTGGATCCTCGAGAGGTTTCCAATTGTCTGCTGCACGACGAAGATATGGATGAATTACAGCAACTGTTACCTCTAATAGCTCCTCTTTCTCTGTTGACGTTTGGCTATTTTTTGAAAATTCGGCGTTTTCGAGCAACTCGATTACAGAATCAAGTTCAATATTATTCATGGCTTGAGAGATTTGCTGAGATTTTTCCGCTAAAAATTTTAGTTGAGAAATTTGCTGTAGTCCCTGCTCAATTTCTTGCTGCTGCTGGGCTATGGTCATCTGCACATAGGCTTTACGATCTTGTAAATTCTTCCACTCCTCTACATAGGCAGATAGATCGTACTGTGCGCGACGTAGTATTTTTCTCACCTCGACTTGTTCCAAAGTTTCTGAATTCTCGTTCCTATGTGTCTTCAAACTATCCGTCAAAATACCGGAAGTGGAAGATAACAACTTCGTACCTGGTACAGTCATATCGAGGATTGTGACTAGAGATTCTGGAATTATCAGCCCAGGTGCCGCTTTTTGTACCTCATCCAAGGTCAAAAACTTAGGGCCAAGATTTTTTCTAGATGAGCTTGGTTTATTTTCGTTTCTGTAGAGTTGGGTTGTTGCTTTCAAATCGTTTGATGCATTAAATTGTTCGTCATTTGTCTCGACACACGATTCTCCCCTAACGTTTGCTTGTCGTTTTTCCTCCAAAATCTCTTGGTTTGACTTTTCCTTGACAGCACCGAGACCAGCACCTTGCGGCCGGATTGTTACTTCAATTATGCGATTCCGACCCTGCCCTTCTTTTCCAAGCCCTTGGCCTTCTTTATATCCCATCTTTTCCATCATTCTTGCAGCAAATGAACTTTTGTTAATTCTTGTTTGCGCGTTCGTGATATGTGATCCACCTTTTGAGGTATTGGTAGAAAAGGCACTAGGACTAGCTTTAGTTGAAGCCATCATTTTTTGCCTGACATGAACAGTATCAGATGTAGATAAAGTGAACCTATCTTTAGACAGGTTGGATAGATTTAAATTATCGGAATTATTGAACCATTCATCAGAATTATGGCCTAGACCCAATCCTGGCCCAAGCGATAATGATGCATGCCTCTTTTCAATATCAGTTGCGTTAATGTCAGAGTCTTCGTGGTCTCTTTGTTCGTCAGCATCGTTTATGTTGGTTGTTTGGACGAAATTAACTCCTTTTCTTCTTAGATTCATCTTGTTTTTCCATCTCTTTGATGGTTCTGCATCCTCGCTATCGCTACCGAAAATACCCAAAGCAGAACTTTCTTTAGGATTTCTTTCCTTTCGTCTTCTTTTGCGAGGATTCACGTTTGAAATATCTTCCGAATTAACGTTGGTTAAGGGATATAGAAAGTCTTCGTCTTCACCTGAAGACTCTGTCGAGGAATATCGCGCGTTATTTTGCGCAGAATACATTTGTTTGTTCCAACAAAATTAGTTTGTTGGTTAGTTTGAGAATATTGCTAAAGATTTGCTGACCGGCGCGATCTTAGATGCAGTCGACGTCGCTCTGAAGTTATCTTTGCTTATATAATCCTAGAGGTTAAGTGTTTCTTTGCTAGTCAATGTATTCATTTTTCCATACGTCGTGACAAATGCGAAACTTCAATAGAATTAAACACTTGCAAGATAAAATTCGTGTAGGGGATGGGAGCAAATAATCAGCTAAATACACGCTTAGTAGATCAGGAATTTCAGTAACATGTCTCGATGTATAATTTCCTCGGTGGAGCTGCTCACAGATCAATCCTTACAGTTTGGGGTAAAGATAAGAAGCGAGTGGCGTCCTTTTCCAGCCTTGATGTATCAGGGATATTCGAAAAAACTTTCCCTATGGATAATTATTACATGACCTGAGAGAAAATCATGCTGACGTGGATTAACCTCTATGTAATGTCCTTCATCGAAAGACGACTTCTTTAGTGCTAGAATCATTCGAGGGAGATTGGATATCTACTAGTTCGGGTATGCTTCAAAGCTCTTCATGATAGCTTATACTGTTAGCCTTTTTTGTTGGCACACTCCTTTCGATGCCCAACACTTGCTCTTCCTCAGTCTTGGGGTGTGTAGTTGATACAAATGAACTGACATAGTCATGCTCAACAGAGGAAAACTACGGATAGTTGGAGAAGATTTACAGGTTCTGAGAGCAATTGGAAATAAAGAATGGGGCTAGATACGCGCTCGAGAAGTATCAAATTATGCACTCATCACGAGTTAGGAAAAGATATGTCCTCAACGCAGCGATCAAGATGTAAGGCCATATAGCAATATTATAGCCTTCTCTCTGGGCTCTTAATTTATTTCGATCTCAAGCTTAACCGAGAAGCGCACGTCAAAAGCATACGGCTGAAAATAGAAAATTATGTTCAAGTAATAAGTTAACTAACAAGGTGCACATGGGGAGATATATCTCATAAAGTAAAGATACTATATAGCCCGATAGTGAGACCGTCCTTCAAGTATGGGTCCTCGATTTGGGCTGAGGCCATTCTAAGTGTTTGTATACATGAAAGTACAGTCGAACCCCTTCAAAAATCCAGGGAAATTACTAAAAAATGTCACAGGAGCTTATAAATCGACCAGCATGAGAGTCCTGGAACACAAAACTCCTGCCCTACCTTCAGAAATATACCTGATACAGCAAAAAGTACAATACATTGACCGCTCGAATAATCTATGAGTTCAAAAGATCATATAATCTGCCTGTAGTAATATCAAGCTTCCCAAACAAGAAAGAGAATACATTCAGCTAAACAACAGAAGATCAAATCCAGCAAACTTAGGGGAAATTTTACGGAAAGACAAGTCTATAAGACAGTAGAAGGAAGCCTGAAAAGTTGCCGCACGGGAAGAATGGGCAAGTGCTGGTCAACTCAAAAGCGTATCTAACAGCCTCAGCAACATACAATTGCAGACTCCGAAACTTGGAGGGTAATAAAATTTATTAAGGCCGGCACTCCAGTATGTTTCAAATAAGCCTCCATGAATCATCATTTCCTCTTCACCGTAATCCAATAAGGGCTCATAGCAGCCTATCAATGCATATTCTAAGGTAGCACATGCGGCTCAACTAATAATTAAGAAAAGGAAAAAATACTCGGAGTTTAAAGCCCAAGCTGTTCATATTGTTACGAATCGTAGTATCCCAAGCCCATGATCATGTCATGCCCTTGATTTTCAAATGGCAGCGAAGAGATTTGGAGACAAGTTAAGGTTCAGTCCTTCAAAGTTTTATTAAATAATCCTGCTGACTTCAGGAGGATGACACAGTGAATTATAGATTGTTACGGTCTGACCGTTATTTGAGCTTAGGTGAATACCCAAGCGGATTGTTGGAAATATTTACAACTAGGCGGCACTACTAGTCAGGAGGTCGAAGCGTTACTACAACTAAGTAACACCTGGCAATGTGTGGATGGGTAGCATGTTGTTGTTGTTTTATTCAAGTCCTAAGCTAAAGCTCCAAATCCACTATGAGTACAGGACCGATGTTCACAGCCAGAACTACATCTAAGACTCCCAGCTTGATTCCACCGCATGAACCACCACAAAACCAGCAGTATGTTAAAAATATGCGCCGACGCTAACTCCTTTTCCCAAAATTGACAAAAGAAAAAGATAAATTGCAAATAAGTTAGAATGGGAAGCAATACTCCTCGCCTCGATTCCCATTTTGTCAGGTTTAGTTTTCTGACGAGTTATAATCGATCTCCACTGAGAGTAGGAGATGGATGCACAGGAGAATACCTAAAACAATTGGTATCCTGCGCAAATTGTTTGAAGCTCTCGAAGCACTTAGGCCCGAGTAGCTTGTGTAAGAAGGCATTGTGTCACAATGACCCTCTGATTCGACGCGTGATATTTGCATTGAGTCGACAATGTATGAAGTGGGTAGGGGTGGTTTCCTCCCCACAGATGCTTATCGACTTTAAAACTTGTTGTCGACATTGTATATGTATGTCTGTTATCACAGACATTGGAAATAATTCATGAGATTGCTTAATGAGAGGCTAGTATTGATTCCGATATAATATTGTAGAAGACTTGTCCCAACTATCAGAGGGCTACAACGTCTTTATCTATCTACAGGTAAATTTCCCATATTCCAATCACGCTAGCCATACAGGACGTAGCATATAAAACTTGATTCGTATCATCATTTTGGAGTTGAGGTTTACTGTGCATATACTACTCGAGTCGCATGTCTGACTACTATGCGACACGCTTAGGTATCAATCTAACAACCCACACTAAAACCGAAACTACTCACAACCCTGATGATGACCCCATGAATAATTGGAACAGTAGCCTGCAACATAGCACAACTAGGCTAGACATTGTTGACCAGGACCTAATCCGAACAGATGCACTCTGTAATAGCGTGCGGATTGTTGAAGCAACGATGGTACGCCGCGAAATTGCCGTGGCCCGTACGGGCTGCAATGAGATGTCGTAACTGTAGCCTGGAAAGCCCCAGTTCTTGTGGTTTGCGACGGCGCATAAGCAGATCCAGCTCACGATACCGTGACGGGCAAGTTGCATTCCACCAGCTGTGGAGCAAAGTCTGTCGCTGTTGATGCAATTTTTGGTGTAAAAATGCTGTCGTGGTGGTTGCTGGCTCAGTTTCCACGCTGGGAAGCGTTAATAGTGTCATGAAGGCGCTTTTCACATTAGTAGTAAATCATCATCCACGTAGTATAGCACGTAGAGCCAGGGAAATGGAAACAGGTTAGTGATAAATTAGATACCACCGATCGCTACATTCACCCGTAGATCACTCCTAAAAGAGACTAACTACGGCGCTATCTGGAAGTATGTGGGATTGGTTAATTATCATGAACATAACCTGTAACACAACATAACATAATGTAATAACACAATAAGATACCATTCGCATCCCGTAACATTTATTGCCATAATCACCCAAGTATATTCTAAGCCCCCTGAGTAGTCATAACCATTTAATTGAAGATACCAAGTGTATACAACCATATACATCATAACCCTTCAATTAATAGGGCGGACTTGGCCGCTGCGTCTGCTTCCTCATTTCCATGCATTCCCGGATGTCCTGTTACCCACTTTATTCTTACCTGAGCTAGCCCAGATAATTCGCGAAACTTTCGTACTTCCTCGTGGCTGGTCGAGGACCTGCCCGTGCTCAGTGCATTTATCGCATGTCGACTATGTAGTAATTAAGGCAGCAACATGACTGCAGTAAACAAATAGTACTTATTAGAATAATATGCACTGGCGCCATGAGATATGATTAACCCATATCATCACTCACTGGCATGAATAGTAATTAGCCAATCGATGCCTAACAGCATACATTGGCTTCAGGATCTCCAACAACCTTCCCGTTTAGGTTAGATTAGGGAGTATGTTGGAATTCACACTAGTGTGCGGAAAACCCCGCTTTCATGTATATAGAGGGACTTCTTGCCACACATATAGAATTATAGCAATTTAATCACAATTAACTATCCATTAAACATCAGTAAACTTCTTCGTATAGTAAACACATTTATCGTATCTCTTAATCAAACTCGAGGCTAGTGTGTAATTCTTCCAATCTCCGGAACTAATTTCAATTGACTATCCATCAACATATTAGTGCACTGCGTCGTTCTCTTCGCCGGTTATTCCTTCCCTCTTAGGTGACCCATTGCTACTTTGAGTGCTTCCTGTGCCCCCGTAATCTCTGCATCTAAGGCCTCTCCACCGTGCTTTATGCCACTTCCTTTTAGAAAAGTTGTCCCATCCAGCTTTAGGACAAACCCCCAAGCTGAGCATCTGTTTCCTTCTGATGAACCGTTCGAGTACGCACAGACTTCCGGCTTTGGCTGTGACGGAAACCTAGTTGGTTGTGAATAAATCGATTTATTAAACTATATGAGGAGAAAAGAGAACTCTAGCTACGACTAACAGGTATTTATAAGAATTGGTCCCCTTCGTCAATCTCCAGACTGATGACTTATCCTTAGGCACAATACTTGCTACCCAGCCACGCATTGCCAGGTGTTACTTAGTTGTAGTAACGCTTCGACCTCCTGACTAGCAGTACCGCTTAGTTGTAAATATTCCCAACAATCCGCTTAGGCGAATACCTAAGCTCTAATAGCGGTCAAACCGTAACATTGGCACATTAATGATCCAAAGTTTACAAGCTTCTGTTTGGTCTTTTCTCGAACCAGCCTTCGAACCTGGCCGCGATTGATAAAATAGTTAGGCAAGAGGCTCCGCGGCCTCTGCTTTTGGTAGCTTTCTATAAGCACGCTGAGCCCGTGACATTTGAATTTCAGGACGCGCAGGTTTTCGATTGTGCTTCTTATATTTTCGCGTACCGACATTTGGGCAAACTGCAGCATGAATCCTGAGCGGATGGCGGTCGTCAAATGTTTGCATTCTGG